CGCAGCTGACGCACAAGTTTTCGTTGTATGAAGGTCCTCCCAGCCACTGCTGACATCTGAGTGTCAGTGCTGAAAGACGGGGTATCTTTTTTTTTAAAAAAAAGTAAAGACAATTGATCATGTAGAGCAGAACTTTTCAAACATTTTTCTATTTATTTACTATATATACTGCTTTCTCATCTCTGGAGGGACGCAAAGTGGTTTACAAAATATTGATGGCAATGTTAAGGCTTTAATGACGTATTTGGGGCTTTATAGGCTAAAGCCAGCATTCTGAATTGTGCTGAGTAGCAGACTAGCAACCCGTGGAGCTGACGTAACAGGGAGGTTGTGTGTTCCCTGTACGCTGCTCAGATGAACAACCTGGCTGCCGCCTGTTGGACTACTTAAAACTTCCGAACAGTTTTCAAAGGCACGTTGCATGTTGCAATAATTTATTCCCCATGCAACAAGAGCTTGGGCCACTGTGGCCAAGTCAGACTTCCTAAGGTACGAGCGCAACTGGTGCACAAGTTTTAATTGTGCGAAAGTTCCCTGGCCACCACTGAAACCTGGGGTTCCAGGCTCAGCGATTAGTCCAGGATCACTCCCAAGCTGCAAACCTGTGTCTTCAGGGCAAGTGTGACCCCATCCAGCACAGGCTGTAACCCTATGCCCTGTTCGGCTTTGCGACTGACCAAAAGTACCTCTGTCTTGTCTGGATTCAATTTCAATTTGTTTGCCCTCCTCCAGACCCTCACAGCTGCCAAGCACCAGTACAGTCACCTGAACACCCTCCTTAGTTGCAGTTGAAAAGGAGTGGTAAAATTGTATGTCATCTGCATACAGGCATGTGTGTTGGTCTCACCCTTTTTAGACATGCATCATTTTGCAAAATAGTAATTCAGTTTTAATAGCAAACTAGAGGGTATAGGAGATACAGACACATATATAAATTGCAAGGCTGAAATGTATGGGCACAACTTGTGTTATAAAAACCTTTCCTTTATATTTATAAGATGATAACATACATTTCAAAGATTTTTGTCATTTCCTGTGATGTTTGTGCAACACATCTATACAGTACTCAGATGTGAACTCGTGAATCAAACCGCAAGGGAAGAGATTCCACCTAAACAGTAAGAAAAATTTTGTAACCAAAGAGCTGCTCAACTGTGGGGCCTACTATTCAGAAGGTTTGGACTAGGCATGGGCAAACTTTGGCTCTCCAGGTGTTTTGGACTTCAACTCCCACAATTCCTAACAGCCTCAGGCCCCTTCCTTTTCCCCCTCCCTAAGCGGCTGAGGGGGAAAAAAGGGACCTGAAGCTGTTAGGAATTGTGGAGTTGAAGTCCAAAACATCTGGAACGGGGCCATGTTTGCCCATGCCTGGTTTAGACTCTCCTTTGGAGATCTTTTAATGGAAGTAAATGGATGTCTTTTGGGAGTGATTTCTCTTGTATTTCTGCATGACAGTGAGTTGGATGAGATAGCTTTGTTGTATTTTCTAACTTTATTATCCTGTGATTCCGAGTCAAGGAAAGGGACCGAGGCTGTTAGGAATTATGGGAGTTGAAGTACAAAACACCTCGAGGGCCCAAGTTTGCCCATGCTTGGTCTAAACCTTCTGAATAGTAAGTTCCTCTCCATATTGTGCTTGAAATGATGCAGCTCGGGAAAGACACATCCTTGCTGCTTAAAGCCCAGCTTAGTCCTAAGGGATAGCAAGGTCTAGTTTCCTTTCTGAGCGCTGAGCTTATTCAATCTGCAAGTATTTACTCGCACGGCTAGATGTGTGATCTTTATTCCCACGGAAGAAGCGCACAGTGTTGGCCCAAAGTCCTGAGGTCCTGATCTGGTAGTGGATGTTGCCATCCCTTAAATTGTAGATATTGATGTTATTTTCCCCACTCCCGGAAGCAAAAGTTACCACTTGCCCACCACAATCCACAACCATGTGGGCGTTGTCTTGGATGCAGAATGGCTCCTTAGCAAACTCCTCTACTGCAAAATCAAGGCAGCCTCCCAGTTCAGGGGAAAGGACCCCCCAGGACTGCAATTTATCTCTCACTCTCAATATATTGAAGATGCTCAATGGTTCCTGACGAACGGAGAGCCTCGCGAGGTACATCTCAGGGGTCAGCTCCCGGATCCTGTGCTGGATTGCATTGTATAAGAGATACACTGAAATCTCACACTCTCCACTGCCGGAGAGAAATTCTATTGGTGGCGCAGCACACTGGATAACCATCCGAGCATTTTGCTGCACTAACAGGGGTTCCTTGTCAAAGATCTCAATGGCAGCTTCGAAACAAGCCTTAAGAAGAATGTTCACCTCACTCAGTTGATCACGATGCCTCAAGAGATTCCCCATCGTTAGGGGTTCAAAGGAGGGCAGCAGGGTGGCCACGTAGAACAGGGCATCCTTTAGGATTTTGATGACACCAGAGGACCGCCACCATTGCCTGGTCGCCACAGACAACCCCTGTCCTCTGCTCATGGGAGAATGGTCTTCCTTCCTTGCCCACAACAAGCCATGTAACAACAATGAGGAGGAGAGAAAGCAGCACCACAAATGCCACTGCAGTTAAACATTTCCACAGACATTTCTTTTCATCTGAACTGCAAAGAAGGGGAGCATTGCATCAAGGGCCCATTGGATGCCATTATGCACCCAAGCTGCCATATTCCTGAAAGAAAATAAAATGTTATCAGTCTTGAAGTAGATATTGCAAAGCTTTCATTCTCAGGTTGCACTTCTGCCTCATCATTTGTTCTTGGAAACTATGCTAGTTGTCATCACTGTTGGAAACACAACTATGGTTAGTACTGAAGAGTGAAGAATACTGCACAGTGGGGTTTCAGTAATAGGGTTAGAGCAGGGGTCCCCAAACTTTTTGAACAGAGGGCCAGGTCACAGTCCCACAAACTGTTGGAGGGCCGGATTATAATTTGAAAAAAAAACATGAATGAATTCCTATGCACTCTGCACATATATTATTTGCAGTGCAAAAAAACTCCCAAAAAATCAAAAAACAAAAACCCACACTTCTATATAAATAAAAATGTAATGTTCGTTTGTGGGATTAACAGAACTCAAAAACCACTGGACGAATTGACACCAATTTTGGACACAAGACACCTAACAACCCAATGTATGTCCTTCACTCAAAAATGATTTTGTCACTTGGGAGTTGTAGTTGCTGGGATTTATAGTTCACCTACAATCAAAGAGCATTCTGAACTCCACCAACGATGGAATTGAACCAAACTTGGCACACACAGTTCTCCCATGACCAACAGAAAATACTGGAAGGGTTTGGTGGGCAGTGTCCTTTGGTTTTGGAGTTGTAGTTCACCTACATCCAGAGATCACTGTGGACTCAAACAATGATGGATCTGGACCAAACTTGGAACAAATACTCAGTATGCCCAAATGTGAACACTGGTGGAGTTTGGGGAAAATAACCTTGACATTTGGGAGTTGTAGTTGCTGGGATTTATAATTCAACTACAATCAAAGAGCATTCTGAACCCCACCAATGATAGAATTGGGCCAAACTTCCCACACAGAACCCCCATGACCAACAGAAAATACTGGAAGGGTTTGGTGGGCACTGACCTTGAGTTTTGGAGTTGTAGTTCACCTCCATACAGAGAGGACTCAATGATAGATCTGGACCAAACTTGGCACTGATACTCAATATGTCCAAATGTGAACACTGATGGTTTTGGGGGTTGTATTTGCTGGGATTTATAGTTCCTGCAATCAAAGAGTATTCTGAACTCCACCAATGATGGAATTGAACCAATCTTGGTACACAGAACTCCCATGAACAACAGAAAATACTAGGTTTAGTGGGCATTGACCTTTAGTTTTGGAGTTGTAGTTCACCTGCGGTGCTGCGGGGGCTTGTTCTCCTGGCACGGCTGGAAATGGAGTGGGAGGTGCCTCGTGGCCGTCGGAGAGCAGAGCGGCCGGAGCAGAGGGTGTCCGTCTGCAGAGGACCCACCTGGGAGGCAGAGCGGCCGGAGCAGAGGATTTCCATGATTGGCGGAGTGGCGCCGGGTGGGCGTGGCCAGGCCAGGCTGCGCGGGCCGGAGAAATGCCCTCGGCAGGTCACATACGGCCCATGGGCCGTAGTTTGGGGACCCCTGGGTTAGAGCAATGGTTCCCAGTCTGTGGTCCGTGGACCACCAGTGGTCCGCAAGAATGAAAATATGGTCTCACCATTACTAGAATGTCGCCTCAAAACTATGCAGCAACAGGCAGTTAAAATACATTAAGTTAAATGTTTAAAATTAAAATTAAATGCATATTAAAAATATATAAAACATTACAATCACTATTAAAAATCACGCCACTCACAATCGTAATCTGGGGCCATTTCAAAAGTCATTGTACATAATTCCATAGCTATTATTGCACTGTGGTTAAAATCCTTTTTTAATTTTTTTAAATAAAACTGTTCATTTTAGTTATGGTACATAACAGAAAAGCAAATCGTGGCAATTGCAATCAGGTTACAATATTTTTGATATGTACATGCCTATCTACCTTAGTCAATCAACCATTTCATTTTGACATTAAGTACAAATTATTGGGATCCTGGGGGTGGGGGTGTAAAATCCAAACATTTATCCATCTCCCACCCCTTTGAGATTCCCAGAACTTACATATTGATTGCAACCTCTTTCTTTGTCTTCTCTGTTTAATATAACATAAGGGAACCCACATGAATCCTCTTTTAACTTTCTCTTTCCTTGAAACCACGTGCCCCATCCTTTACAAAAAAACCAACCAAGGCAGATATCCTTCCTGTCTACACAATACCCTTCAGGGTTCAGCACTGCTTCTGGTAATTGAGCTGAAAGCAAACATATTACAAAGTTTCCAGGATTGGATGCAGAGGAACCTCAAGTCTTTCTAGACTTTGATTCCTGCAACAAAGGACTTTCTTTTTCACCTTTGGGGCGTTCTACTCATTCCTGCCAGTAGAGGGCAGCAAGCAGGGATTGAAGGAAAACAGGAAGTGGGAGCCATTGAACGCTTTGGATTTCGCCCAGCATCTCCACCGACCCTCGGGAACCCCCTTTAGGACCCCCCTTTTGCAGCCTGCGACCTGGAGTCCTCCCAGGCCTGAATTGCATCAGCTTCAAAGCAAGGTATGGGAAAGAGGAGCTGTTCAACAGATAGGTAAAAAAGTACTCTTTTTTTTTGCAAAGAGTTTGTCTCAACCAGGCATGGGCAAACTTGGGCCCTCCAGGTGTTTCGGACTACAACTCCCACAATTCCTCCCACAATTGTGGGAGTTGTAGTCCAAAACACCTGGAGGTCCCAAGTTTGCCCACGACTGGTCTGTGCTATACAATTAACCCAGTTTGACACTGCTCCAGCTCACATGGGATCCTGGGAATTGTAGTTTCGCGGGGAGCAAGCTACAACTGCCCAGATTCCCTAACAGCCAGCCGTGAAGGTTCAAAGGATGCCAAACTGCATTAATTCCACAGTGTAGATGCCATCTCAGCTGGTGGGGACTTGTAGTTTCACAAAGAGCAAGCTGGGACCAAGTGATAACTTCCTGGATTCCCTAACAGCCAGCCGTGGAGGTCCAAACGATGCCAAACTGCATTAATTCTATAGTATAGATCCCATCTTAGTTGATGGGGACTTGTAGTTTCACAAAGAGCAAGTTGAGACCAGGCAACATCTTCCCCTGTTCTATAGAAGCCAGCCATAGTGGTTGAAATGATACCAAACTGCATTAATTCCGCAGTGTAGATCCCACTCAGTTGGTGGGGATTTGTAGTTTCGCAAAGAGCAAGCTGGGACCAAGTGGCAACTTCCCCTGTTCTATAGCAGCCAGCTATGGCGGTTCAAACGATGCAAACTGCAATGTATTTTCGAAGGCTTTCATGGCTGGAATCACTCAGTTCTTGTGGGTTTTTTCGGGCTATATGGCCATGTTCTAGAGGCATTTCTCCTGACGTTTCACCTGCATCTATGGCAAGCATCCTCACCTCTGAGGATGCTTGCCATAGATGCAGGGAAATGTCAGGAGAGAATGCCTCTAGAACATGGCCATATAGCCCGAAAAAACCCACAAGAACGGATGCAAACTGCATTAATTCCACAGTGTGAATGCCATCTCAGCTGATGGGGACTTGTAGTTTCGCAAAGAGCAACCTGGGACCAAGCAACAACTGCCCAGATTCCCTAGCATCCAGCCATAGCGGTTCAAAGGATGCCAAACTGCATAAATCCCACAATGTAGATCCCATCTCAGCTGGTGGGGACTTGTAGTTTTGCAAAGAGCAAGGGACCACGCGACAATTTCCCCTGTTCTTTAGCAGTCAGCCATGGCAGTTCAAATGATGCTAAAACTGGATTAATTCCACAGTGTAGATCCCATCTGAACTGGTGGGGGACCTAGTGGGATCTATTCCCTTTGCCAAAATCTGTGTTTTGCTGTTACCGTTTAGTCATGGCGATTTTGAACAACCTTGATGCATTCTGTTGTCGAAGGCTTTCATGGCCAGAGTCACTGGGTTACTATGAGTTTTCTGGGATGTATGGCCATGTTCCAGGAGCATTCTCTCCTCACGTTTCACCCACATCTATGGCAGGCATCCTCAGAAGTTGTGAGGTCTGTTGGAAACTAGGCAAGTGAGGTTTATATATCTGTGGACCAGGGTGGGAGAAAGAACTTGAAAGAATTTGCTTGAGGCAAATTCGAATAGGTTGTTGTAAGTATTTCGGGCTCTATAGCCATGTACCAGAAGCATTCTCTCCTGACGTTTCACCTACATCTATGGCAGACATCCTCAGAGTTTGTGAGGTCCTCACAACCTCTGAGGATGCCTGCCATGGAAAGGTCAGGAGAGAATGCTTCTGGAACATGGCCATACAGCCCGAAAACACAACAACCCAGTGATTCCCTGGCCATGAAAGCCTTTGACAATTAAAATTGAATGTTGCAGTTAAATAAATAAATAAGCATTTAATGGCTTTGCAGCTTCAAAGCCTAGCTGGTTGTTGCCTGGAGGAATCCTTTGTTGGGAGGTGTTAGCTGGCTGTGATTTATTCTTATCTGGAATTTCCCTGCTTTTTGAGTATTGCTCTTTATTTACTGTCCTGATTTTAGAGTTTTTTTAAAATACTGGTAGCCAGATTTTGTTCATTTTCATGGTTTGTGGACACCTCTGCCACATACACATTTTCACTTTTATGTGTGTGTATGTATGTGTGTATATAAAATCCCAGCCTTGAAAGCCTTTGACAATTCAAATACGAATGTTACAATTGGCCACTTTGATTATCATTGAATGGCCTTGCAGCTTCAAAGCCTGCCTGGTTGCTGCCTGGGGGATCCTTTGTTGCAAGGTGTTAGCTGGCCCTGATTGACTCTTGCCTGGAATTCCCCTGCTTTTTGAGTGTTGATCTTTATTTACTGTCCTGATTTTAGAGCTTTTTTAAAAAATACTAGTAGCCAGATTTTGTTCATTTTCGTGGTTTGTGGACACCTCTGCCACATAAACAGTTTCACTTTTGTGTGCATATAAAATTAAGTGTGCTGTTTCAAGAAAAGCTGCAGAGTTGCCATGAAAAATAAAATAAAATCTTACATTATTTTTGCATATATTTTTTCTCTTAGGCCTTGTCTTGATCCAATGGCAGCTGCACCACAAGAGGCTGCCCAAAACCACCAGGTGAATTTTGAAGAATATGACATCATTACTGAAGAAGACATTGAAGAGATTAAGGATGCTATCGAAGGAGGGAGAATGGCAGAGGCAGCCTCCAAGATTATGGAAAACCTACAGGCCTTAGAGAATGCCCGGCTGGATATTGCAGTAACTGGAGAAAGTGGCTCTGGCAAGTCCTCCTTTATCAATGCCATTCGGGGTTTAGGGGATGAAGACGAAGGATCGGCCCCGACTGGAGTGGTGGAGACCACCAGGGAACCTACTCCATACCCACATCCGAAGCACCCCAATGTCACCATGTGGGATCTACCTGGAATTGGTACCCCAGATTTCCAATCCAGCACTTACCTGGAACAGGTCAACCTCTCTCGCTATGACTTCTTTTTTCTCATTGCTTCAGAGCGTTTCAAGGCCAACCATGCCATGCTGGCCAATGAAATCAAGGAACAGGGCAAGCACTTCTATTTTGTCCGCTCTAAAGTGGATGCTGACCTAGAAGCGAGCAAAAAACGTCGGCCGCGGTCCTACAACGAAGAAGTGGTCCTGACAAAGATCCGAGAGAATTGCCAAGAGTGTCTCAGGAAAGAAGGTGTTGATGCTCCTCAGGTTTTTCTTCTATCCAGCTGGGAGTTAAGCAAGTATGACTTCATGTTGTTGGAGAAAACCTTAGAAAGGGAGCTCCCAAACCACAAGAGGCATGCCTTCCTTCTTGCCCTTCCCAACATCTCTTTAGAAATCTTACAGAAGAAGAAGGAAGTGCTTCAGAAACAGATCTGGAAGTTGGCCACCATCTCATGTGGAGTGGCTGCTGTGCCCATCCCCGGTCTTTCTGTAACCTGCGATATTGCTCTTTTGGTTAAATCTCTGTCAACGTACCGTAAAAACTTTGGCTTGGATGAGGAGGCTCTCATCAAATTGGCTGAGAAGGTTGACAAGCCTGTGGAGGAGATCAAAGAGGCGATCAAGTCACCGCTGACCAAAGAGATCTCCAAGGACTTAGTGGTAAAGATGCTGACCAAGGCTGGTGGTGGGGCACTAATGTTCATGGAGTATTTAGCTAGTACGGTGCCTATATTTGGCTCCATGGCGGCTGGAGGAATCTCCTTTGGGACCACCTACTACATGCTCTGGAGCTTCCTCAATGAGGTGGCAGGAGATGCCCAAAACGTTCTTATCAAGGCCTTTGAATCTGGCGTTTGAAAGGATTTGTAGTATCCTGCATAGCGTATTTTAAGATACTGAGTTTAATTGAGCTTCATCTCAGGCAAGCTCAAACCAAGCTCGCCAGCTCAAAAGAAAAAAAATTAAAAGGGTACAAAACCAGTTAATACTGGTGCATTCCCATGACAGTTTTATAACATGGTAATTCTGGGGGTGGAAACAGTGTTCTTTTCTTTGTTTTGCCGAACTTGACAGTTGGGATGTTGGGAACTGTCCTTCAGAATTTTGCTAAGGCTCTCTTGTCACTCAAGCAAACCAAGTGTGTTATAAGAGGATAAATTTCGTGTCAATTTGCCTGGAGAAGTGGATTTTAGTTGAAGGCCTTCTTAGATTAGCCTGTTGCCTTTTGATGAAATGTCAGAGGGTGACGGCATTTTAAATACATATACCTAGTGTTCCTTGCCTTAATGAATTATTATTAAAACTTAGATTGTTCATCAGTCAATAGTACTACTTTATACTAGCCTGTGTTATATCCAGGGCTGAAGAGGGGTCATCCTATGAACAGTTGGAATATAAGGAATCTGAAGAGAAACCAGAGTGGCATTTCTCTTTCATTGGGGAAAAATTCAATTTATCTGCAAATCTAGGGTGTAATTGCTTTTTCAATGGTACATGATTCTTTGGTCTTGTTTCACTCTCCTGTTTGTAAACAGATGTTGGATTTTATTTAGAAAATATAACAAAGGATAGTTGTGTGTAACTTCCCGAGCATACACATTTCCAAGTTCAAATCAGGCAAGCTAAACTTGTAGCATCGAGTTATTCAGAAAGCATGCTAGTCCGGGTCTTGAGAAAGTGGAAAAATAGAACTCATCCTAAAATAATGAAGAAAAATAAAAAGCAAACTATGAGAAGCATTTCACGTGAAAGGCCCACACTTTCATTAGCCAACTTTCTGACTGTAACAGTTGTTCAATATTTGGCTCCATGGCAGCTGGGGGAATCTCCTTTGGGACCACCTACTACATGCTCTGGAGCTTCTTCAAAGATGTGGCAGGTGATGCCCAAAACGTTCTTATCAAGGCCTTTAAATCTGGTGTTTGAAAGGATTTGTAGTATCCTGCATAGCGTATTTTGAGATACTGTGTTTAATTGAGCTTCATTTCATGCAAGCTCAAACCAAGCTCACCAGCTTGAAAGAAAAAAAAAATTAAAAAGGTGCAAAACCAGTTAACCAGTGGAACTCTGTCTCAGAATATGGTAGAATCTCCTTCTTTGGGGATTGTTAAACAGGTTGGATGGCCATCTGTCAGGGATGCTTTTCCTGTATGGAAGATTTTTGAAATACCCAGAGTTTTCTTGCATGTTTTATACCAAAGGATGCAAGCAACCAGTAAGCAGAGCTTTGAGAAGGAAAGTAGCTACTGTAGGCTGAGCATTACATTCTAATTCAGTGGTTCCCAACCTTTGGTCCTCCAGTTGTTTTGGACTTTGACTTCCTGAAATCCCAGGTGTTAGGAATTGTGGGAGCTGAAATCCAAAACACTTGGAGGATCAAATATTGGGAGCCACTATTCTAATTAAACCTACCTCTGTGTATACTGGAAGGCAGGAAAAGGAAGCTATGGGTGCCCCAAGATTAGAAAACCCAAGGACTGCAGTTGATTATTGTGTTCACTTAACCACATCCTGCACAAGTTCATAGTCCTCATCAAAGAAATAGATCGGCAGATGAGTTAGCTGGCAGGGAAAGCCCTTCTCCATTGCCCTTTTTGCCTGACTATTTTCTACACCTAGTTGTTAGACTGATACTTCTCAGGGACATGCCTCTTTTTATACAAAGTTTCCAGCAACATGGCAAGCCCCTGGGTCCTTCATTTTTGTCTTCTCCTGTAAGCCTGGAGAGACAAGATGTCTGCAGATATGACAATTAGATAGCTGGGTCCAGCTTTTCTATATAGAAATGTTATTATTTCAATAAAATCTTTGCCACTTTTAAGGCTTGACTCAATTCCTGTAATTTGCTTAAGTTCATTTACCCAACAGATTGGGAATCTTGAAGGTCTCATTCATAGGGTTGTCATAAGTTAACAACTAGATTCCCTGGACCACTACTGTCACTGATCCCAAACTAGTGGTTGCACTATGTAACAAAATCTGAAAAAAATTCTGTTCCTGGTTTGAAAGTGTTACTTCGTTTAATTGTGCAGTACTTACTTTGAAAGTAATTGTTATGCTCCAGAACCATCGTTTTTGTGGCCGTCATTTTTAACCTTTCAATGTGCCATTGTTTACCTTTCATATGCCATTTTTAATCTTTTGTGCAGACCGCAAACAAAGTTTTGAAGTTTAATAAACTTTTCCCGTGGTTTTATTATAGAACCAATTAGGAAATAACATTTATAACCCAGGAACAAAAGTTGTTATAGAATGTTATGAAATAACTGAACCAGCATTATATTACAACTGTTTATATGGCAGAGAAATGTTCTGAAAGCATCAAGGGGAAAGAAAAATTCTCAATAAAACACAGGTCAATGTCCTGAGTAATATGGAATCTTATTTTCATGTTGGTCCCTTAAATTCCCTGTTTATAAGCCGCATTCTTTCAATAACATCGAAGTCCAGTCATAAGCCCAGCACAAAGAACTCCATTCACAGCCCCCATCTCCTTCTCTTTCTTTCACAGAGAGAGTAGCTACTGCTCACAGAGGAGACTTCCCAAAGTCACTGGAGAGGTTCTACAAAAATCCACCCGGACACGAAGCATCTTGAACAATTTATTAAAACAGAAATGGAATACTAGGACACAGGAGGAAAGATTATATCTACTCTCCAGCAGAGGAGGAGGAATGCTCTCTATGTGGGTCAAGGGAGGTGGGGAGAGAAGAAGTTGGTACACCTCTCTCTCCAAATGGAAGCAGATAAACAACACTTGGAAGAAATGGAATTACATTCTGAAAATATTCAAAACAACATTAACTCTCCTCTGATTTTTACCACCTGCCCCAACACTGTGACTGCAAGTGGCCTCCCTTGCTCCCATTGGGATGGTAAGAGGTTGCAAGCTATCCACACATAACTCCCAACCCTCCTGGAAAGAACTGGGGGTTTGCAAACCCTTGGAGAGACCTCCATGAAGATAGAAACCAGTGCACCAAAAGACATAGAAGGCCAAGTCCCATGCTGGGTGGGGTAGGAAGTACAGTGGCCCCATAGGGCACAACATGAATGCTTCTGCCATCCTGCTTGGCGCCACTGAAAGCCTGGCGCCGCTCTCCAGCTCCCCTCTCTCGAAAGTCACACATCGCTTTGTGCCTCTGGATGAGGGCACAGATCCCACGGCTCAGTGATCCCAGGGATGGGGAGGCCTGGCTGGCCCTCGGCGGTTTCAGGGCGAGGAGGTCACCGTGTTCATGCCAGTAGACGACTGTATTCGGAGAGAGCGGAGGATTTCTTCACACCATCCCAGATACGGGCAGCATAGTGGAACCTGCCCAAGACACAACAATTGCCATTCATTCAGCTTCAATTCAATATGAAGACAGGCTTGGTTCAAAGCTATCTGCTCTGCCACATAATAAAATAATCTAAGTTTTCCATTAGTGAAATCAATCTAATTTTCATGTTTTGTACATTTTTTCCCTCCACATTTGCATTCCTGAGAAAATGAAAACACTACATATATAGACATTTTAAATTTTACCTAAAAGAACACTTCTCTAGTAATTTATAGCAATCCTATGGTCAATGCCAGGCAAAAGTTGACCGCAGAATCCTAGAATGATAGAGTTGGAAGAGAACACATGGGCCATCCAGTCCAACCCGCTGCCATGCAGGAAAAACACACAAAGCACTCCTGACAGATGGCCATCCAGCCTCTGTTTAAAAGCCTCCAAAGGAGGAGCCTCCTCCACACCCTGACCTTATCTACATTGCCATATAATCCAATTCAAAGCAGATAATTTGGATTTTATATGGCAATGCAGAAGGCCTCCGCAGCAGTATAATCTTTGGCCAAACAACCTTTAAGATCAGGATGCTATTTCAAATGTTCAGGTGGAGTCTCCTTTCCTGTAATTGAACCTAAATAAAATGCTGGAGGATCTACAAATGTTTAGAAAGAACATATGTTTGCATGTAGGGCAAGAGTGGATGCAGCAGCAAATCCAGTAATAATAGTGAAGATGTATTGTCGAAGGCTTTCATGGCCAGAATCACTGGGTTGTTGTAGGTTTTTTCGGGCTTTATGGCCATGTTCTAGGGGCATTCTCTCCTGACGTCTCGCCTGCATCTATGGCAAGCATCCACAGACCTCACTCCCTCTGAGGATGCTTGCCATAGATGCAGGCGAAACGTCAGGAGAGAATGCCTCTAGAACATGGCCATATAGCCCGAAAAAATCTACAACAACCCAATAATGAAGATGACAACGATGACTCTGGCACAAGCCAGTAAAGGTGGTCTCATTGTAATCAGCACACTGGGTGCAGTGCCCAAAGACCTTGGCCTGCACTTAAAAACAATCGGCTCTGACAAAATTACCATCTGTCAGCTGCAAAAGGCCAACCTACTCATATCTGCACACATTATTCTTCGATATATCACACAATCCTAGACACTTGAGAAGTGTCTGACATGTGATCAAATAATAATAATAATAATAATAATAATAATAATAATAATAATGCGACGTGTGATCCAATACAACAGCCAGCAGAGTGATCTTGTCTGCTGTGGACTCATCTTGTTGTGTTTCAAATAATAATAACAACAACAATAAATATTTATCATGCTTTTCTCCCTAAACAGGAACCAAAGCGGCTCAATAATCACATCCATAAATGCTTAGCCCACAAATATAGAGGATCGCCTATAATTTATTACCGGCTGCAACACAACAAAAATGTCTTTCCCATCATTTGGGACTTTGTGGAAGCATATGACAAGCTGGGGGATGAATGAGAATAATAAAAGGAGATAAAATGCATATAAATTATAATAAGAAAGCTAGTATGAATAAGGAAAACATAACCATAAGAAAAGGAATATACTATAGGAAAACCCAGACAACAGCTTGTCTCAATTTTTCAAACTTATCAGATAAAGAACATTGTTTCTAATATCTGTGCATACATGTTAGAAACTTGCTATTTTTAAAATTCAATCCCTTACAAATTCAGGCCTTACACATGCAACCATGGCCATTCTCTTAGCACCTTGGGACAGTGAGGGGGCGATTTATTTATCTCCATAGAAACTGCTACTCTGGAATTAAATCTGAATTTACATCCCCTGCTTTTGAACATATTTGTTAACATTCCAAAAAGCAAACTTTGATGTTGCCATTTTATATAAGGAACTCCATTCCATTCACAGATTCCGATAACAATGGAAAAGGAGGTCCAGGAACCAAATTCTTGTGGATGCTGAGAATCATCTGCAATTCTGACAGTAAACTTGAAGTCAAAGAAGTGAGGCATCTTACAGTTCACACTATACTTATGACAGGATAGAAGCAGCTGTGTTTATGAATCTCAGCTCTAGAGATAAGAGACTTGAAACACATTGTGACACACATTTTAAGAGGCAAAAGCCGTAGGAATACCATCTTTACAGGAAAACTTGAAAGTAAGCTGTAGATATAGAGATGGAACCCCCCAATTTACCTTCTCACAATGCTTAAACACAAAAGAACTTGTTCTTACCAGTTCTTTTCAGTCAGAATGGTGTGGGAGAGCTGCGGTCGGGGCATAGACATAATCTGGCTTTGAAGTTTGGCAATCAGAGACTGGAAACTGGGGTGTCCCTTGTATCCAGGCAGGAGGGTGAAGAGAGGACCACTTCCTGGAGCTGCAAAGCGAAAAGGTTCAAAAGCTCAGTGTGCTTTACTTTGAAAATCCTGGGGCTTTTACTATAGCTGCAACAATCCCTTGAAAATCAGGCAAATAACCACGCCATGTCTTTTGTTTTAATTTTTCTTTCCTGTGTGAAGGAAGGATGGGAAAGCAGCAAAAAAAAATGCTTGATAGGAAAAAAACTTGGAATCCAAAATACATGTAATAAAGGTAGAAAATTCTGAATTTCAGCTGTAGATCGATAGGTGTATTGGATAACCCTTTCTCTTCCTAGTTTCTTAACTCAAAATCACACCCTATTTACAGTATTTATATTCTGCCCTTCTCACCCCTCAGGGGACTCAGGGCGGATTACAATGTACATATGCATGGCAAACATTCAATGCCATAGACACACAACATATATAGACAGACACAGAAGCAATTTAATATTCCAACTTTTCGTGAGGGTATTCTGGCCACCAGGGGAGCTGTTTCTTCACCATCCGTGACACTGATGAAGTACTTCCTCATTCTTTGCAGGCTTGCTGGAGATTTTTATGGCATCGTAAATTAGTTAAATTAGCCTCCCTGTGTAGGCGGTACCTAAATTACCTACTTGACAGATGCAACTGTCTTTCGGGCTGCAAAGGTCGACAGCAAGCTACATAAATTGGTCGGACACTCACTCCGGCCCGGGCTGGCTTCGAACTCATGACCTTTCGGTCAGTAGTTATCTTAATGCAGCTGACTCCCAACCAGCTGCACCACAGCCCCGGTGCTTTCATCCCCACAGTCCCTAGTGGGGATGAAAATTCACAGAAAAACTGGGAAAGCCTAAAGTAATCTCTGCTGCTATTCCCTTCCACACTGGAGCATTTGCAACCCATTTATATCAATGTTTCTTCACTTTTGTTCTCCAATGACCTGGACTTCAATTCCCAGATGCCTCAATCAGTTCAACCAAAAGCAAGAGGTTCTGGAAGCTGAAGTCCCATTATTCTGGAAAAGTACAGTATATTCTGGCGTATAAGACTACTTTTTAACCCAAGAAAATCTTCTCAAAAGTCAGGAGTCGTCTTATACGCGGGTGTAGTTATATGCATGGGAGTCGTCTTAACTCTATATTTTAACTGGAAAAGTTGGGGGTCGTCTTATACACCCAGTCGTCTTATATGCCGGAATATACGGTAAATGTTGAGTGTTACTGCTATATATGATGAAGACTAGGAGCAAGGATTACTTTCAACTGACTAATGTCTAGAATTATTGTCTTGGTTCACACACCATTCCCTGGGGTACAGGTACCACAGAACATCATCTCTTGTCAAATATCCCACTATGGTCTGAACTAGCAATGTTGATTTGGGCACCAATATGGAGATGAACCTAAATAAAAAAGGTAATTAGGGGAGGGTTGATATAACCTCTTCAGGTCAGAACAGCAACCATGGGACCAGAGGGAGGATTCCAGCTACTTACCTGCTCTGGGTAGTGCATCATCTGCATCCGGATCCATAAAGGGTAGCAAGAACAGGTTAACCTCTGTGTCAAGGTAACTTTGAGGCAGGCCAGGGAATATGTTACATTCCAGCATAGACAGTGCACCTGATGGAGTCAACACAGAAAAATGACTTAATTAAGTAGGTAGCTGACTCAGCAGCACATTCAGAAGTATGGAATCAACAGAATGCTGCTGAATCAGTGAAGATTGTACCTGGGAAGGAATCCCACTGAAGCATTGCAGCACACCAAATTACTAGGGAGTTACACTGGACCATGCTCTGATTTACAACAAGCACTGTTTGACTACCAAGCAAAAAGTGGGCGCTAGAAATAATATACGAAAGCTGACTGGCACAACCTGGGGATCACAACCAGACACAGTGAAAACATCTGCCCTGGCGATTTGTTACTCTGCTGCTGAATACACATGCCCAGTGTGGAATAAATCTCACCATGTTAAAACAATGGCTGTGGCTCTTAATGAGACATGCTGTATTATCACAGGATGTCTACGCCCAACACTACTGGAGAAAGTATTGCACCACCTGACCTGTTCGGATATCAGCCAGCATGACAATGCCTTACATCAAGAAATAGTTTTCTAAGATCTACTGAGATACTCATAGGAACACCTAAGCAAGCGAGAGTCCAAAAGTGGCAGGCTATAACCCAGTACCTCAATCCATGGCTGATACCTCATAAGAGACTACCTCCTGGGCACACAGAAGACTGGGCAACTTGGAATGTGCTGTACAGATTAAGCTCTGGCACCACGAGATGCAGAGCCAACCGTAAGAAATGGGGCCACAAAATGGAGTCCACGACATGGGAGTGTGGAGAAGAGCAAACCACAGGCCACCTATTACAATGCAGTCTGAGCCATGCCACATGCACAATGGAGGACCTTCTTATAGCAACACCAAAGGCACTGGTCAGCTACTGGTCAAAGGGCATTTAAGTATAATGCCAAGTTTTTAACTTTGTGTTTTTAAATACGTTACAACTGTACCCTCAATTCGCTTCTGACACGATAAATAAATAAGTGAAGACTGGAGCAAAGAGATAAATCAACACTTCTGAAATTATACCTTACATTTAATAAAAAACCCAAAAGTAAAAAGAACTTTGTCACAGCAGAAAGAGGTTTTGGAGATTCATTCCCATTGAGTTGTTTTCTGGTGGCCAGGAGAACTCCAAACTAGATTCTTCCATCTCTACTTTAAAATAGAGATGCTAAAATGAAGCCATCCATTAGTCCACAGCCTTCCAAGTTCTGCATTCCAGCCTTTTAAGTGAATGAGAAATCAAAACAATACCTTTATATTTCAGATGTGAGTGCATCATAATTTTGTCAGTTACAAGATGCATTTGCTTCAAGTTTCGGGGGCAGAAGTTTTCCCCCTTGGCTTTATTCTGGAGAAAAACTAGAGGGAGAGAGAAAAAGAGAATTGTAGCATCAGAAATTAAGTGCACCTTACTCCAAAGTACAGGGGCCCCCTAGTGGCGCAGTGGGTTAAACCGCTGACTGGCTGAACTTGCTGACTGAAAGGTTGGCGGTTCAAATCCAGGGAGTGGGGTGAGCTCCCACTGTTAGCCCCAGCTTCTGCCAAACTAACAATTTGAAAACATACAAATATGAAATCAATAGGTACTCCCTCTGCGAGAAGGTAATGGTGCTCCATGCAATCATGCTGGTCATATGACCTTGGAGGTGTCTACAGACAACACTGGCTCTCCAACTTAGAAATGGAGATGAGCACCACCCCCCAGAGTCGGGCACAACTAGACTTAATGTATTTACCTTTACTTCAAAGGACAGAAAAAATCTCAACTTCCGCTCCCCTCCTGCCAGCCCGAGATAAATGTTCGTATGACAAGGATTTTCAAATTCCGAAACTAAAAACCATTGGGCTGTGGGTGTCATTTGACAAATGTTTAGGAAACTCTGCAGAAGCATGAAATCTAGCATCTGATGTGCCCTTCTATAGTTTTCCCCTTTTAAAAAAAGCTGGGACAACGGGTGGAAAACACCCAGAAGAACCAGAAGGTACCAATGAAGGAGCTTCAATGTTGCTCCCAGGCTTGCTGTTTTTTTTTTTTAACTCCATGTCCCATATTTCTTGCTCCCATAATCTCCATCACCCACCATTTCCATCTTTTCAGCCCACTGTCTATTTCTCCCCATAAATCCCCATAAATCTCTATTAATGTTATTATGTACCAATGTGCGGGTAGTATTCTGTACCCTCATCCGAGCCAGAGGTGCCACTGGATTCATGACTGGGGGATGGAGTGGAGGGTTTCACCATCTCAGCTGTCTGAAGGAATCTGTAACCAATAGATAAGGTTTCTTTTTACAGGAAGTCCCTGAGTTACACATATCTGACTTACAAACAAGTCATAATTACAAACAGGGGTGATACAATAGGAATTGAAAGAAATCTACTCCTAGGAAAGGAAATTCACTCCTGAGAGTTATCATGAAGAAAGGAAGGTGTCTCCACTGAAGCTTTCTCACTAAACCTTGTTTCTACAACAAACCATTTTTTTCAAAATTCAATTCACAGAGGGACAGGAAGTGAGGTGAAATCTGTTTCTGACTTACAAATTCAATTTAAGAGCAAACTTACAGAACCTATCTGTACATTAGTGGTTCCAAGCCTTTTTTTAACCAGGAACCACTTTGACCAAGGACTACTCTCCAACATTAGTACCAAAAGGGTTACAAATCAGTTTTTGGTGAACTTTAGATACAGTTTGGTTATTTGGGGTGCAGATTCAGAAAATTGCATTGGACATACCACATCAGATCTAGTTTCTGATACAGACCATATGACATCCAGTAGTCGCCTTCTGCTCGCCCACAGAAAACCATATTTAATAATCCTTGGTACTATAAGAGTTTCACGAGACCAGTCACTCTCATTGCAATGGTATAGTAACGGTGAGGCCGTGGACCATATTTTAGTTCTTGTGGACCACTGGTGGTCCATGGACCACAGGTTGGGAATCTCTGTTGTACATCAATGGAGAACTGATTAGTAGATTATATATTACCTCCCTCTTGTGGTATCAGAAAAAAAACAGCATGATCATTCTGCTCTCGTATGACTGATCCCTGGGCTTTGTTTCATTATTGCAAGGTAAGCATAAGATGTCAATGATGGGAAGTGGTATGAAACAGGACTAAAGATGGTTGTAAAAAAAAGTATACATTTTTAGCATCTCTGTCTGCTTTTACTTCCCATGGGGGATCTTAAGTAGCTTTACTTGTACATTATTTACTCTTTTTCTCTGTATTGGGAGTAAACTTCCATCAAACTGATTTGTAGAATTCAAACTTCCTCTATTATTAGGAAGATCAGTAAATACGACATCCGAAAAACCTGCAGTATCTAATGCAGCCAACCTCAACCCGGACAAATGTACTGGACTACAACTCCCATCACACCTAGCAGCATGGATCTGCTGGCTCCAAATGATTACTACAATACATTTGAGAGGCCTCCAATGCGTGATATCCAATTTAACCATTGTTTCCACAATGCCTTGTGAAACTTCAGTAGCGAAATTAGATTTCCAATGGTCTGAGATGCGTCTATGGAGGTTAGGATCACTCCACGGCTATTATAATGAAAATATATTATTATTATGTTTATTTATATCTCGCTTTATCTCTCCTGAAGGAGACTCAAGGTGACTTGCAATTAAAAGTATGACTGCATAATTTAAAATATACAAATATGCAAACATTAAAACAGAATTGAATATAACAATACAGTGTTCCCTCACTACTTTGCGGTTTGCTTTTAGCGGACTCGCTGTTTTGCGGGGTTTTTTTAAAAAAAATTAAATACATATCACTGTATTTTTGCTGTTTTGTGGGTTTTTGCCGCCACCACTCTCCAAGGTGCTTCCCGTCCTCAGTCCTCCCTCCAGCCTTGAAGGGAGGACTTCCTTTTCTTCACTTTAAGTTTATAAAGACTCAAAATAGTGTATAACTACTAAAATAATGTATAAATATTAAAATAAATATAGCGTCCCTACATAGTCCTGGAACGTAACCCCAGCAATAAGTGAGGGAACGCTGTATCAAAAAATTTTTAAAAAAAAGATTTTCAAACTTCCATCTCAAACATAGGTGTGGGGTACATTATACTCTGGCAGCTTATACTCTGGTCATTGCATTATATTAGCCATGTTTCAGAATTTAAGATTTTCTTGGCATAGGATCTGGGTGACTGTAATGCCAAATCAAATTTAACATGAAAGGTGATTACATTCAGCCTTGAGCTTAGGCAACAGGAAACAACTGGCAATCCGCTCAAGGGTCTGTACAATATAAGGCTAGGTGAACCCTAAACGGATGCTCTTTGCTACAATTATCTCTTTGTAAATGGATTCAGTTTCTTACCTGTACAGACTCAGATCTGTGAACCAGTCCTGCACCACAATGACGACATGGCAGACAGTGAAGAGGAAAGCAGCAATCTGGAGGGACTGGAAAGGAGAGTTGTCGTCAGTAGGAGAGATAGTGTAGGGGAGTTCAATCAAGACATCACATTAAAGGGTGATGTGCATGCGAGTCTGTCCGCACATTGATAAACCACATATTTGCTTCACACACTTCAAAATTGGCTGCTCCTTTGTGGAATAGTTTGGCATCACAGGGGGGCAAACAAGCTAAGGACAAGCCAATGAGGGTGAAGTAATGTTGTAAGGAGATTAAAGAGATAATGCAGGGTGAGGCAGCATAACTTCCGTTTTTAAAATGTGCGCCATTCAGTCGGTTGAAGAGGTAGTGGAGAGCTAGTGGTCTCGTTCGAGAGGCGGGAGTATAAAGTTTTGTCCTGACACAGTTCAGTTGCTATCATGCATTGGAACAGTGAGGAGCATGCTTTTGCCGTCAAGGCCTACTTTCCGAGCAGATTTGGAGTGGCCGGCCCGCTCTCCAGATTTGGCCCCTTGTGATTTTTTTCTATGGGGTTTTTTGAAATCCCGTATTTATGTGAACCATCCAAGGACCCTACAAGATTTGAAGACCAACATCCAGGAAGAAACTGCCAACATAACGCCTGCTATGCTGGCAAGAGTCATGACAAATGTCAGAAATCGGTCTACTCAGTGTATGGAGAATGGGGGACGTCACCTACCTAAACCAAAACTACGTAAAACAAAACTTTAGGTATGAGCCTACATTATAAAAAAAATTAATAAATTTCTGATTCATACAATGGGTTTTATTAAGTTTTGAAAAAAGGAAGTTATGCTGCCTCACCCTGTAGAATAAAGAGAGAGACTAAATGGAAGACACCCCAATTCTGAGGTGTTCCAGCGAGTGTCTCTGTAGATCTAAGAAAACTATTTCTTGATTTAATCCGTGGGTGATACCAGATGAGAGACTCCCCCCTGGGCACAGAAAAGACTGGGCGACTTGGAAGGCGCTGAACAGACTGCGCTCTGGCACCACAAGATGCAGAGCCAATCTTAAGAAATGGGGTTACAAAGTGGAATCCACGACATGCAAGTGCGGAAAAGAGCAAACCACTGACCACTGCTGCAATGCAACCTGAGCCCTGCCATATGCACGATGGAGGACCTTCTGGCGGCAACACCAGAAAGGACATTTAATCAGCTACCAAGTTTGCAAAATTTGTGGGGTTTTTTTATCTGTTTGTTTGTTTTGTTCTGTTAGAAATGTAATACAATGTTCTGGTTGCGGATGACACGATAAATAAATAAATACCCCAACTCTATCTCCTTGTTTAATTAACATCAATACAAATCACTACAAACACATTGAAAACAAGGCTCCAGATACAAAGATTCACTCCCCCATCTGTCATAAGTGATTACTTCATTCCCTATTGCCACATCCATCTCTTCCCTTTAGTCAACACACAAAACAAGAAAGGTGTGTTACCTGCATCTCAACATAGGTGTGGGGTAGATTATACTCTGGAGGCAGCTTGCGGTCGTTGTTGATCAAATGGTCTAAGATGGAAGGGCTGAGAATGGGCTGTAGAAAAGGACCAAAAAGCTCTGAAGATTCTGTCTAGCTTCATTTCATGCTCAAGGCAATCCCTTGGGGTCTGTTCCCATTTCTTAGCTAAAGCTAGTCCTCTTATAGCACCCTTCGAAATGAGTGCAGCCATCACGCCAACATAATTCCAGACCTTGCAAAATGAAATACCTTTTTAAAAAATTTACCTCTCATTCTACAGTTGGGAAACAGTTTGTGCCTTCAAATGCTTTTGACTACAACTCCCACAATCTCTTACCTTGAATCGCTTTCACTCAGGGTACTCAGGGTCAAAATCCAAAATTTCTGGAGAGTTAAACATTTCCAGCTCCACCAAATTTATTTGGATTCTTTTGGATCCACAATATCAACTCTGAAAATGTTTCTGGATTGCAGTTCCCACAGTTCCTCACAAACATATATGCTGGCAAGGGCTGGGTGGAGATGTAGGCCAAAAACATTTTACAGGACCACAACTGTCTACCTGAGGTATACAATATCCCAATCTGCCCTTTCCAAACTACAGTTAAGATAGCTGTGATTAGTCACATCCACAGCTCCCTTCCTTATAGTGGTGCCGGCAAAGATTGGTGGGGGACACAATGGAATGGGATTTGGGACCCGCCTACCTGCGTGACCGCATCTCTGTATATGAACCCACACAATCTCTTCAATCATCTGGAGGCCCTGCTCGCGATCCCACCTGCATCGCAGGCGCGATTGGTGGGGACGAGAGAGAGGGCCTTTTCGGTGGTGGCCCCTCGACTCTGGAACTCACTTCCTAAGGACATCAGACAGGCCCCAACTCTGGCAGTCTTTAGGAGGAGCTTGAAAATGTGGTTGTTCCAGAGTGCCTTCCCAGAATAATGATCCCATAGCACTTTGTCCTCCAAAGCACTTTACATTTTTAGGTCTGCTTGTATGTTTTCCCCAAAGCCCCATCACTTTTCCGCCCATGTTCCAGCATTATTTTCAATTTTAATTCTACATTTGGCCTTCCCACAGTTTTTAACCGTGTGGTTTATTGTTAATGTTGCATTATTTTATTGTCCATGTTTTTATTTTAATTGCTTGTTTTGTTGTTGTTATTGCTTGTATTGTTGTGTTTGGGCTCGGCCTCATGTAAGCCGCACCGAGTCCCTTGGGGAGATGGTAGCGGGGTACAAATAAAGTTGTTATTATTATTATTATTATTATTATTATTATTATTATTATTATTATTATTTAAAAAGCACTTTATGCTATCTTGGCTTTACCAAAGTTGCTTAATGGTTATAGTGAAAATTAGGCTCACCTTGGGAGAGTTATAGAACATTTACGAAAAAATGGGTAATTGATTCAAATTCTAACCCTCCCCCCCCCCCCCCCTTTCCTGCATGCCTCGGAAATAGCTTCCTATGCATAAATTTAACAAATTAGATATGACTTCCAATTAGATCCACAACAAACACACACCTCTAATAGATACCATTTCCACCAAAGATTCAAGTGGAGCCAATGTTTGAAACCACCCAGGAATAACAAGAGATTGTATGGAGAGTTCCTCCAAAAAGACTGTCAAAAAGAACTACAACAAAGAGCATCAAACACAGACCTGGGTGTCAAGGAAGATAATTCGCTCCTGAGTAATGAAGAAGTCAATTCCACTGGTCTGGTTGCCCCCACGCTCCTTGATCTCCTGGCTCTGAGTGCGGAACACATAGGTTCTTGAAAAAGAGATAAAGGAATTGTCACAGAAAGAACAAAGTGGGATTGATAATCTACATCATATTACAGATGCAGCAGGGAACCTTGACACTGATTGATTGAATTCATGTGATGGCACAAGTGTTCAAATGCTGCAACTGATCGAAAACAATGCCGAGGGAAAGAAAGATACTCCGGAGTCCACTTTCTATGTGTGAAAGGTAAATGGATTGGTTCAATGTACTTAGATAAGGGAGACAAAGCTTCAAGATGTGATTTGAAGTGACATACTGAGAAGTAAACAATCTAACGTAGTGGTTCTCAACCTTCCTCATGCCGCAACCCTTAATACAGCTCCTCATGTTGTGCTGACCCCCAACCATAAAATTATTTCTGTTGCTACTTCATTACTGTAATTTTGCAACTGTTATAAATTGTAATGCAAATATCTTATATGCAGGATGTATTTTCATTCACTGTACAAAACCTGGCACAAATACCCAATATGTCCAAATTTGAATAATGGTGGGGTTAGGGAGGTTAATTTTGTCATTTGGGAGTTGTAGTTGCTGGGATTTATAATTCGCCTACAGTCAAAGAACATTCTGCACTCCACAAATGATGGAATTGAACCAAGTTTAGCACACAGAACTCCCAAGACGAACAGAAAATGCTGGAAAGGTTTGGTGGGCATTGACCTTGGGTTTTGGAGTTGTAGTTCACCTACATCCAGACAGCACTGTGGACTCAAACAATAATGGATCTGGACCAAACTTGGCACAAATATTCAATATGTCCAAAAGTGAAAACTGGTGGAGTTTGGGAAAAATAGACCTTCACATTTGGGAGTTGTAGTTGCTGGGATTTATAGTTCACCTACAATCAAAGAGTATTCTGAACCCCACCAACGATAGAATTGGGCCAAACTTCCCACACAAAACCCCCATGACCAACAGAAAAAACTGTGTTTTCTAATGGTCTTTGGTGACCCCTCTGACACCCCCCTCACGACCCCCCAGAGATCCCAACCCCAAAATTGAGAAATGGTGATCTAACAACATGAAACTATTACATCCATCCTCACAATATCACTGTCTAACCATTTTGTCAAGCAACTCAAACTATCCATTCTCAGCTATGGTTCCTCCACACCATCTTCCAAGTACCTCTGGTCTTCTTCAGGTTGATTGGCTGACAGTAGTGACATCACCATGGATTTGCCCGTACCCTGCAGTCCAAGAACCCCAACTACCAGAACATCTGTTTGGTCCAGGAGGTACTAATATCAAGGAAAACACACACATGCATAAATAAGCATACAAGCCAGAAATTACAGAAATTGAAAGACTAGCATTATCTAGTCAATTTTATCTAGTTTTTTTGCCTAGCTGGACAAAGGGAATCCCACCACACATTCAAAATGCCAGATAAAGGAACCATGGCTAAACAAAATGGAAAGCAGGATTTCTAGGGAGAGCAAGGAAATGTACACAGTTGGAAGGGGCCCACAAGACATCTCCAGATTTTCAATAGTACCTCAATGGCACTGTCACACCAGTTCATTTGGTCATCCACCAGTTTGATGCTGTGTTTCATCTTCTTCGGTGCCAGCAACTTGGCCTGCCCAACTACAGCTAGAAAGGCAAAGAGGACAACAGGGCTCAAATGATGGCCTCATTACATGTGATAAGCTCCCATAGTCACAGTACATTAATCCTCAGACCTTTTGCATCAAGGCTACGAGTCCAGATTAAACTAGAACAGAAATTTCATAACTACACACAAGAGGACAATACATTTTTAACCCATCAGTGCATAAAAATGGGTTGCACACTTGCACAGAACTGTCTGGTTTATTTACTTGAAGAGTCCTACATGCCTTTAGCATCTACTTCCTGAGCAACTATGATGCTTCTCTAGTATCAGATCACTCTTATGTGACCTGCATTCAAGATGATGCAATGAATGTGAATTATAATAGCTGCATGGAGTTTCTGTTCTGATGAATATAATGTGGAATGAACTTAGTATCAAGGTACAAAGGGATGAGAACCTTTGGCTCTCCTGATGTTTTAGACCACAACTCCTATTGTCCCTTTACCATTGCCCATTCCTATAGCTAAACATGAAGTCCAAAACATCTTGTTCTTCACTCCTACTTTAAATACTATTACAACACACCAAAACAGAAAATTAATGGTAAGTAATTAAACAGAAAAGTTTAAGATGCATCAGATCACACTTATCTAACAGTGCTGACTCCAGCACAGGGGCTATTAAAAACAATGCATCAGATACTAAGCTTTCATTGACTCTTCCCTGCCAGTCAGATTTATCAAGCAGCTCTTCAAATATAATTAGAAAAACTTTTGCATTTGATCCCAAGCTTCTGGGAACATGACTGGTGAGAGGAATTTTTTTTTTAGCAAAATGTTATTAGATTTTGATTTTAGAAAACAGGCTTTGGTTATCATGACAATGATTGAGTGCAACCATATGGTGAACAAAATCAAAACACCAGAGCACACTCTGTACATGTGTAAGACTTAAAGACTCTGCTGATCTGATCCCATGACTGTTTTTTCTTTCTTTCTCCAAGGTCTGAACAGGAAAACCACTGAAGTTGCCCCCTTCTCATTACTTACGGTCCATGACACCACTGGGCGCAGTTGAACCCATGCCTCTGTTCTGGATCTGATAGACTGGCTGCGTAGGACGTTGGCCTTCCTTCTCCACTTTGGCAGCAGCTGCAGGAGGCTGAGCCGATGTCTCTGCTGCTCCTGCAAGGCCTTTGCTTTCCTCCCGGGACTTCATCAACACAATAGGTTTCTCGATGGCTGGGGCAGCAGTGGGGGCTGGAGTGGGAGTAGGGGTAGGGGCCCCCTTGGACTGTGAGGACACAGAAGCCAAGATCCAAAACTCCTCTTTGCTGAAAACAAATGCGGACCCAACCCACTATATTCCGCTACTCTCTGCCCCCCAATAAACACATTATTCTCATGCAAGTACTAAAGAACAGTAATAAAGGAGAAACCCTTTTCTCAAAAGCTTGCTTCAGATTCTGTGCTTAACCACTTACAATCCATCTACCAAAAATACATTCACATTGAGAAGAATGAAGGGTTGGATTAAGGAGGAGATATTCTCCTCTTCTCTGTGTTACTTACAAAATACAGAGGTAAAAACGAAACAAGAACAGCATTAGCAACCAAGGGCTCTTCCCCACACCCCTATATTCCAGCATATCAAGGCAGAAAATCCCACAGTAACTGCTTTGAACTGGATTATCTGAGTCCACACTCAGATAATGTGGGATCTTCTTCCTTGATATTCTGGGAAATAGGGTTGTGCAGAAAGGCCCTAAGTGATGGAAAAACTTGGGAGAATTCTCAAACTTTGGATTAGATCTCATTTCTCCTTTACTAAGAGTTAGTAAAGCATGCTAGTACTGGCTGAGTATCCTTTATCCGAATGTGAGAGACTAGAATTGTTCCATATTTCAGATTTTTTTTTAGATTTTTTAATACTTGCATATACATAATGAGATATCTTGGAGAAGGGAGTCAAGTCTAACTAGAAAAATTAATGTATGTTTCAGATACACCTTATACACATAGTCTGAAAATAATTTTAAATGCAATAGTTTTCATATTTTGGGCAAACATTGAGCTTGTGTGCACTAAACCATCAGAAAGGAAAGGTGTCAGTATCTCAGCCATCTGTGCGGACAATTCTGGAATTCCAGATAAGGGATATTCAACCCAGTATTGCACTTCTTCAATTTTTCTGATTATTTTGCCTGAAAACTGAACAAATATCAGAAATTTATTTTCCATAGTGTCAATATATCCCCTCCCCCATTTCTAATGGGTTTCACAGCTTACCCTCTCTGCTGGTGGCTTAGCCAGGATGATGGGTGTCTTCTGCATCATGGTTCCCACAGGCTCATCCACAGGGTCCTAAAAGGAAAGAAGGTTCAAGGTAGACACCCAAACGGCTCCTTCATTCTTACTTTCATCCCAACCAATGTGTGGGCCATTACCCGCCGGTCTCGGTCTCTGTCCCAGGGAACATAGTCGCGATCTCTGCCTGGCCCAGAAAGACTCTGGTGGCCCATCTCCTTATCACGGTTCCAGCGGCGGCGGCGTTCATACAGTCCAGGTTGGCTGTGCCCTGACTCTGACATATGGAAATGCAACCTGGAAATCAGAAGAGAAGCACRTCAAACTTCTGGATGATAGMACGGGATAAATTGATTTAGGACTSACTGYGTTCCCTCACTTCTCTCTGAAAATGTTCACATCACGTCAGCATTATTTTAATTTTAATCTATTACATTTGGCCCGGCCATTGGTTTTTAAATGCTTGTATGTCACTGTTGATTSTTTATTGCTTATTTTTGTTTATGTGATTTATATGAATTGTATTGTATTGATTGTTTTATTTGATGTTTTGTTTACTGATGTATTGTGGGGTTGGCCTCATGTAAGCCGCACCGAGTCCCTTGGAGASATGGTAGTGGGGTACAAATAAAGATTATTATTATTATTATTATTATTATTATTATTATTATTATTAWTATTAATGTCCTTAARGGAGTTCAGAAAGAARGAGCAAAGGATATAGAACAAGAGTAGGAATCCTGCCATGAGCAAAACACATCCCTTCCATTTTCCACCTTCCAGGCTCCCATATGTGTGGTTTCCAAATAAATAGGAAACATTCTGAAGCTTACTTCTAGCTTTAAGTGCTCTGTGGGCCAAAACACAATGTATGAGTGGCTCGTTTCAGCAAGAGCCGTGTCCCCTGGATATATAACTCTCTTTCTGGAAATGGGAAGCTCAGAGGAAGGGGATGGGGAAACTTCACGGGCCCCAAGATTGATCTTGGTGGACCGTGCTATTTCCACATTTGGGATACATTAACTAAACCCTCTAACTTATTTACCATGCTCAGATACAACAACAATAAATTTTATTTATTAGCCTCCTCTCCTGATGGCTCGAGGTATTAATTATAATAAATCTCTATACATAAGATCAGCTCATATATGAGTGTATATAGTGGTTGTTTCATTAATAGAAGATTTTCTTCCATGACCATATATCTCTTACCAAAAATAGAAGACCTTTTCCTATAGAGCATGAGTACATTGGACCTTGTCCTGTATGCCTTGGGAATTATTATCCAACACTTTTACACTGTTTTTCTCTTGATGAGTTAATACAACCTTGTATGTTTGGGTAGCTTTTTCCTCACATTTGTCATTTCAGTTGCCACTATAAAATCCCAAAACAAATACATATTATAGTTATGTAGATGTGATTTGGAATGTGCAAGTAAAGCATCTCTGCATATTTTTTTAAAAATAATGGTTTGGATTGTCTATCTCCCTTAGAAATCAATGTGCCTAAAACATCCTTCTCCTTAAATTTGTGGATTTTCTGCATTACTGCTGAGCTAGTAGTATTATTGGGTATTATTTAGATATTACCCACCTTTCCTGATTCAGAAAGGGAAGGAGGGATACTCTGTTGTTATAAGCCACAGTTAAAAGTGCTGTCAAACTGCATTAATTCTACAACGTATAGAATCATAGAATCAAAGAGTTGGAAGAGACCTCATGGGCCATCCAGTCCAACCCCCTGCCAAGAAGCAGGAATATTGCATTCAAATCACCCCTGACAGATGGCCATCCAGCCTGTTTAAAAGCTTCCAAAGAAGGAGCCTCCACCACACTCCGGGGTAGAGAGTTCCACTGCTGAACGGCTCTCAGTCAGGGAAGCAGAAAACAAGCTTGCTCCCTCCTCCCTGTGGCTCCCTCTCACATATTTATACATGGCTATCATATCTCCTCTCAGGCTTCTCTTCTTCAGGCTAAACATGCCCAGCTCCTTAAGCCGCTCCTCATAGGGCTTGTTCTCCAGACCCTTGATCATTTTAGTCGCCCTCCTCTGGACACATTCCAGCTTGTCAATATCTCTCTTCAATTGTGGTGCCCAGAATTGGACGCAGATGCATCCTTAGACTTTTTTTCTTTATCTCACCAACTTTTGGGTTAAATCAAATCTGCCTTTACTAACATTCCCTTCCACACATCCAGTACGTTCGTGGATTATGTGTTTTCACTCTAAATGCATTGTTTTAAAATTTTTCATTGTTTTAATGTACTTTTAAATTCTATTTTAATATTTATTTAGGTGTACATTGTGTTTTAAGACATCAAATCATTGCCTGTGTGTAAAGCTACCTTGAGTTCCCTCCAGGGTGAGAAAGGCAGGATAGAAATGTCATAATGTCATAAATGTGACATTATAATTAGATACTTCATATTACATGTAAAATTACTAATAATATTACAATATTATTATTATTATTATTATTATTAAACTTTATTTGTACCCCGCTAGCATCTCCCGAAGGACTCGATGCGGCTTACAAAGGCCAGGCCTCAACACACAATACAACAATACAAAACCTAGGGTAAATTAAAAACAATTAAAGCAATATAAACAACAAGCAATAAACAATACACTAAGACACAATAAAACTGGGCCAGGCCAGAGTAAAGGGTACAGGATTAAAAGTGCTGATGTGACAGGAGGTATGTAGGATTATAGGGCAAGTGCAGTGTGCGGTGTGCAGCAATCTTAGTTTTAATAAAGTGCTTATGGGACTTGGTATTGGAGATTTCCTATTCTGGGAAGGCACATTGGAACAGCCAGGTCTTCAAGTTCTTTCTGAAGACTGCCAGTGTAGGGGCCTAAGATCTTTGGGGAGGGTGTTTCAGAGTCGGGGGGCCACCACAGAAAAGGCCCTGTCTCGTGTCCCCACCAATCGTGCTTGCGACGCAGGCGGGATCACGAGCAGGGCCTCTCCAGATGACCGAAGTGAACGCGTGGGTTCGTAGACGTAGATGCGGTCACGCAGGTAGGATGGTCCCAAACCGTTCAGGGCTTTGTAGGTAAGCACCTGCACCTTAAATTGGGCTCGGAAAATAAACGGCAGCCAGTGGAGCTCCTTGAACAGGAGGGTTGACCTCTCTCTGTAAGGGGCCCCAGTTAACATCCTGGCCGCTGCCCGTTGGACCAGTTGGAACTTCCGAGCCGTTTTCAAGGGCAGCCCCACGTAGAGCGCATTGCAGTAGTCCAATCTGGAGGTGACCAAGGCATGGACCACCCCGGCCAGATCAGCCTTCGCGAGGTACGGTCGCAGTTGGCACACGAGTCTCAATTGTGCAAAAGCCCTCCTGGACACCGCCGACGCCTGAGCCTCAAGCGTAAGCGATGAATCCAAGAGGACTCCCAAACTGCGGACCTGTGGCTTCAGGGGGAGTGTAACCCCGTCCAGCACAGGTTGCCACCCTATACCCCGGTCAGTTTACAATCGACCAGAAGGACCTCTGTCTTGTCGGGATTGATCTTCAGCTTGTTCTTCCTCATCCAGATAGACACAGCGGCCAGGCACTCGTCCAGCACCTGAGAGGCCTCCTTGGAATTAGGTGGAAATGAGTAATAGAGTTGTGTGTCATCTGCATAGAGGTGGCACCTAACTCCAAAACTCCGGATGACCTCTCCCAGCGGTTTCATGTAGATGTTAAAAAGCATGGGAGACAGAATAGAGCCTTGCGGGACCCCACAGGTCAAAGGCCAGCGGTCCGAGCAGGCGTCTCCCAGCTTCACCATCTGGGATTGACCCTCCAGGAAGGATCGGAGCCACGACAAAACCGTGCCCCCAAGACCCATCCCAGAGAGTCGCCCCAGAAGGATACCATGATCGATGGTATCGAAAGCCGCTGAGATGTCCAAGAGAACCAACAGAGTCACACTCCCCCTGTCCAGCTCTCTACGGAGGTCATCCACCAAGGCGACCAAGGCTGTCTCGGTGCCGTGACCAGGCCTGAAACCAGACTGTGACTGATCTAGGTAGTTGATGTCATCTAAAAAGCCCTGGAGCTGGGAGGCAACCACCCGCTCCAGCACCTTACCCAAAAAAGGGAGATTGGAGAATGGTCTGAAATTGTTCAGCACCGTGGAGTCAAGGGAAACCTTTTTAAGGAGTGGACGAACCACAGCTTGTTTCAGGTGGGATGGAAAACCCCCCTGCTCCAATGATGCATTAATGATCAACCCAAACCAATCAACCAACCCCTCCCTGGCTGATTTAATTAGCCAAGACGGGCAAGGGTCCAGAGCCGACGTGGTTGCCCTCACAGCTCCAAGAACCTCTTCCACGGTCTCAGGAAGAACAAGCCTAAAAGAATCCCACAGAATCGGACAAGCAGATGCCTCAATCACCTCCTCTATATCACCCAAGATACCTATCCGACCGCATCTCGACCTACGAGCCCACCAGGACTTTGAGATCTTCCGGGGAGGCCCTTCTCTCGATCCCGCCTGCTTCACAGGCACGGCTGGCGGGGACAAGAGATAGGGCCTTCTCAGTGGTGGCTCCTCGGCTATGGAACACCCTTCCCGTGGACATCAGACTGGCTCCTTCCCTGATGATATTCTGCAGGAAATTAAAGACTTGGTTGTTCAAGAAGTGCAATGATTGGTAATGATTATAGGAATGGAACAACGGAAAATGATACTGGATTGTGGTTTGGACGATGAGATGATGCGGAATGGCTTTCGTAGTAATGACGATGTTTTTTGTTTAATGCTGGATTGTGAATTATTTTATACTGTGTCTTGAATTTTAAATTTTGTTCTTCCTATGTTGTAGACCGCTGTGAGTCGCCCCCAAGCTGAGAACAGCGGTATATAAGCAAAGTAAATAAAATAAATAAATAATGGTATAGTACAATATAGTGAACTCCCTCCACAACAACATTAGATCAGCCCCCTCCCTTCTGATCTTCCACAAGAGAGTGAAAATGTGGCTTTGTGGCCAACAAATAAATAAATATGATATAAGGGGAGAGAATGAAAGAAAGCAGGGGAGAGAAAGGAAGAAGGGATGAAGATGTTGAATTTCTAGAGACCACTTCCAAAATGCATCCAGTGATGAATCTCCCTCTTATCCCTTTGGCCAAACTTTTCACATGCTGAGGCCTATTTGCTGGGAGGATGAAAACAACACGAGGTTCCTGCGACTCTGCAGAGCGCCTCGATATATTAAGAACCAAATCCCAATCCAAATTGGGATTGTAAAACCTCGAATCAAAATCCTTTAGTTGGAGTCACAAAGGGACTATATTGCCTCCCGCGGGTGGATATTTTTACAGAGATGCATCCTGTTGCTAAGCAACTATCCAGCGGAGGGATAAGACAGGGAAAAATATTCCTTGCCGGAACTATAGAAGGCGGAAGAATATTGCGCTTCGTGTCCTAAGGCGGAGGGATACCACACGCAAACGTCAGACCTGCCTTATCTCCCTCCCTCGGAGAAATACCTGAGCGTCGGGGCCTTAGTAGGCGATAATCCCGTTTATGAAGGGACGTTTCTCAAGCCAAAAGGCCGCGCCAGGTACCGTTGCTGCGAGGAGGTCCAAATGCGGCGGCGGGCGTGAATCAACACATCTTGGGAGAACGAGCCTCGTCGGCCACCGTTGCCTTAGGTAGTGCGCACGCGCAAGAACTCATTTCTCAGCCCGCCGTTAGCTTCGGTTCGGCGCATGCGTTGTCCGAATCAAGAGTCCTCCTGTCCCCAGACTCACTTGTGCGCATGCGTCGACAGATCCTGCTTGTTGACATAACCATTGTGGGCCTCTTAAGTAGTTTCCTATTCATGGTAACCGTGTCCCAGGAATTTTTTTTGGCAATATTAATTCAGGGGGGGCTTCCATTTGCCTTCCTCAGAGTCTGAGAGTGTGTCACTCATTGATGAGAGGATTTGAATCTTGGAATGTATCTACACCAGGCATGGGCAAGCTTCAGCCCTCCAGGTGTTTTTATTTATTTATTTATTTATTTATTAATTATTATCTATATATAAATAAAATGTAATGTTCGTTTGTGGTATTCACAGAACTCAAAAACCACTGGACGAATTGACACCAAATTTGGACACAAGACACCTAACAACCCAATGTATGTCCTTCACTAAAAAAAAAAATGATTTTGTCATTTGGGAGTTGTAGTTGCTGGGATGTATAGTTCACCTACAATCAAAGAACATTCTGAACCCCACCAATGATGAAATTGAACCAAACTTTGCACACTGTTCTCCCATGACCAACAGAAAATACTGGAAGGGTTTGGTGGGCAGTGTCCTTTGGTTTTGGAGTTGTAGTTCACCTACAACTGGCCACGGTAGTCCACGCTCTGGTTACATCCTGTTTAGACTACTGCAACGCTCTCTATGTGGGGTTGCCTCTGAAGACTGCCCGGAAGTTTCAATCAGTCCAACGTACGGCAGCCAGATTGCTAACAGGAGCAGGGTTCAGAGACCATACGACCCCTCTGTTACGCCAGCTCCACTGGCTGCCGATCAGCTTCCGGGCACAATTCAAAGTACTGGTTTTGACCTATAAAGCCCTAAACGGCTCTGGCCCAGTTTACCTGTCCGAACGGATTCTCCCCCATGAGCCATCAAGGCTACTAAGATCTTCCGGGGGGGTGGGGGGCTGCTCTCGGTCCCACCACCCTCACAATCACGGTTGGTGGGGACGAGAGACAGGGCCTTCTCGGTGGTGGCTCCCCGGCTTTGGAACTCCCTCCCACTAGAGGTTAGATCTGCCCCCTCCCTTCTGACGTTCAGGAAATCGCTAAAAACATGGCTCTGGAATGCGGCATTCGAGGACTGAACCTAGAACCTTCCCTGTGATGAATTAAGTTGAACTGTGACTATGAATATGATTAGGACTATGACTGGATTGACGATTTGGAGTAGGAAACTGTAATGATGTAATGATGATGTTTTTACTGTACTGAGTTGTACTATTTTAATATGTAATGATTTGTATTTGCTGTTTTTT